GGCAGCCCCTGATTGCGGCAGAGCAGGGGGATGGCTGTCTGTCAGCGTGGGGATGGGGGGGTGCCGCTGGGTTTGCGGGTCTCGAGTCAGTCGTGTGGTTTTGAAAACAAGTAGAGAAGTTAAGGAGTGTGTGTTGGGGTCTCTTTAAATTCCCTCATAGGAGGGAAGTTTCAAGACAGAAACTCCATGTTGAACGCCCAAGCTGCCATCAGAGCAGCCACTCCTCGCCACCTGCTCAGCAAACCTGTCCCAGGTGCTTTGTGTTGGTAGTGGTGCTTGGTGCGTTTTCGCTGGGCATGGAACAAAACTTGCTGAGCTTCATCCGCAGCACCAGGTCCTGCCAGGGGCTCGCACTGGGCAACTGTATGGCTTTAAACTGGAAGAGGGGAGACTGAGATTGGACATCAGGAAGAAATTCTTCCCGCAGAGGGTGGGGAGGCACTGGGACAGGTTGCCCAGAGAAGCTGTGGATGCCCCATCCCTGGATGTGTCCAAGGCCAGGCTGGATGAGGCTTGGAGCAACCTGGTCTAGTGGAAGGTGTCCCTGCCCATGGCAGGGGGTGGGACTGGGTGGGCTTTACGGCCCTTTCCCACCCAAATGATTCAATGATTCTGCTGGCTTTGACTTCTTGGGGTGCTGTTGTGTACATGCACGCAGTGCTTAGGGAACAGCAGGCATTTCTGATGCAGCACTGGTAACGTGGAAACTTTTGATTTGTAAAAGACGAAACAAAATCTGGCACGGAAGGAAGAAAATCTTCAGAGGCTGCATCTGCTGAGGACAAAAATAAACATGACGATCAAAGCAAAGAGCGTGAGGCTGCTCTAGACTCGCCTTCAAAACAGCTCCCTGACCAGATTTCCTTCTTCAGTGGGAATCCCTCAGTTGAAATCGTTCACGGCATTATGCATCTGTACAAAACAAAGTAAGAACGCGTCACTAATTGTAGCTCTGGTGGGAATGGTGCTCCTGAATAATGCTGCCACCCTGGATGGGTGAGTTGGTCACCCCGGGGCTGTGGCTCTTGAGCTGGGACAAACAGGAAGGGTGACTTGCAGCCGGGAGGGCGGCTGGTGCCTTGTGTTAATGGTGGAGTTTGAGGCCAGCCCGGGTGTCCCAGCTGCGGGTGATGCTGCTCCAGGTGCAGAGGGCTTGTGCCAGGGGTGTGAGGGCACAGGATGAATTCAGGTTCCTAAAAACTGATATTCGAAAGCAGCTTCTCGATGGATCCCACAATTAAATTGTGATCTCTGGGGTCTTGGTGGCGGGCTTGAGGAGCTGTCCGAAGCGGGAGGTTTCATCCCATATTTCAGGGACTACAATTCCATGCCCTTTCCCTATAGCTATGTAAGAATTTCCATTTCGGTTCTTGCTGAAAGCTACCGGGAGACACAAAATGGGCATTTGAAATAGTAGCAAACATGGCTCACTTGTTCTAGGAATAGTTGTGAGCATCTGTGGCTTGCCAACTTCAGCTGCTATTATAGAAAAACAGATGTCAAATTATTCCCGACAAAACCATTGTTCATTGGAGCTGCCCAGTTTAATCCTTTGCTAAAGAGTAATAGTTTCACGTGGGTATGCTGGATGCTTACCACAGCCCCCCACTTCTCTTTGTACTTACAAATGTGCAAAAGAGGATTAAGACTGACGACAAAGTTATTGTAGTCGCTGCAGCTGTTGGGAATGGGATAGAATAGAATCATTTAGGTTGGAAAGACCTTTAAGATCATCAAGTCCAACCATTAACGTGTCTTCTCTGACACTCTTGCCTTATCAGCAAGATGACCTCCTTAAAAGAAGACGTGAGGCGCAGCGCCATGCTGTGTATCCTCACGGTCCCTGCCACCATGACCAGCCATGACCTGATGAAGTTTGTGGCCTCTTTCTATGAAGTAATCGAGCACATGAAAATCATCCGGGATTCCACTCCAAACCAGTACATGGTGCTGATCAAGTTTAGCTCGCAGGTAAGAGCTGGACGACCCTTTGCTGGGGAAATGGCTGGGGGCTCATGCAGTCGCAGTTTAGGAGTGCTGCCTGGCTTCACTGGCCAGCTGCTAGCCAAGGCTGCACTTAACCCTCGCAGAAACAGTCCTGTCCTACTGCCCAGAGAATTCCTGGGGCTGCTGACTAAGGTTAGTCCCACCTTGACCTGGAGGCAAGTGTCTGCCATGTTCTAGCTCTCTTTCTTGTTGGCAGGATATTTTACAAACCCAGGAAGGATAAGCAGTTCTCCGCTGTCTCGGAGAGTACTCAGAAGGAGGGGTGCGTTGTACCGTGCTGAATGGGAAGGACCCAGTCAGTGGGGCTTTGCTGGCATTTTGGGGAAGACTTGAGCCTTTCTGAGGAGCTGGGTGGTCTCCCAGCCACTTCCAGTGTGGAAAGGACAGTTGCCCCCAAAACTGAGAGCCGAGGGGAGGAATTGATAACCGGGTAACAGTTTGTGGCTCGCAGATCTTCTTGAAGCTCTAAGCATTCCCCCCCGGCCAACTGCTCTGTGGACCCTCTCGCTTGTACCGTCTCTTCCCCTCACCACCAATGACTTACTTTGGGGTTGGGGGAGAAGTTTCCCCTGCCCGCTGCGCAGACGCAGTTATTTGCACGTCGAGCTGTTTGCAGGAGTTGCAGAGACGCGTTTTGTACGTTGCTGTGCCAAACCACGTGGGCAAATCCCGAGTGCTAAACAGCCTTGCAGCAAAGCCCTAAACTTGCCCTCCATTCACCTGGAAATTCCTGTTTCTTAGGAGATTCCCTGAAGCCCTGTTCCCCAGTGACCCCTAATGGCTGTGTCTGCAGGTAGCAAAGGGCCTTTATGCTCCCGGCTGGAGCGAGCAGGAAAATGGGAATATGGCACTCCACTAACTTGCCTCAGTCTGGTGTGTCACTCACGAGAGAGAGGGTTTGGGGAGGTGACAGAGTGAAAATAGATGGCTTATTTGACAGGTTTTCGGGTTGGTTCTGCCTCTTTGTACGTGACTTGGGCACAGTTGGGAGTGTGTCTGAGCTGTGACCGGCGAAAGGGGTTCTCTCCCGCCGTTACATTCTTGTTTCTTTCCCCGACACAAGTGTCCTGCAATGTGGCCCTCTGCGATTTTTAGAGACTAAATTTGCTTTGCAAATGCCCTGAAACTGCTGACAAAGGGTGAAACAGATGCTGAAGGGAAATCCGTTATTCCTGACCTGCTGAATGTTCAAATATCAGAGTAGCTGTCACTTCTGGGAACTTCACTTCTTGTCGTCAAGTGGTAACGCTAAGCCCAGTGCCAAGATGCGATGCCTGCTGGCAGGAGCTGGCTGCCCGAAATATCTCCTCTGGTATTACAGAGCTCAGTGAAGGGGAGGAGAGAGGATACAGCAGACTTGTCCTCCTCTTCCTCGGTTGTATCAGCTGCAAGTTTTCCCTTTAGCTGTCACTTCTGGGAACTTCACTTCTTGTCGTCAAGTGGTAACGCTAAGCCCAGTGCCAAGATGCGATGCCTGCTGGCAGGAGCTGGCTGCCCGAAATATCTCCTCTGGTATTACAGAGCTCAGTGAAGGGGAGGAGAGAGGATACAGCAGACTTGTCCTCCTCTTCCTCGGTTGTATCAGCTGCAAGTTTTCCCTTTCTAACCAGATTCCTTTGGTTTGTGCCTAGGCTGACGCAGACAGCTTTTACATGGCGTGCAATGGCCGGCAGTTCAACTCTATAGAGGAGGACGTTTGCCAGCTGGTGTACGTGGAAAGGGCTGAAGTCCTCAAATCTGAAGACGTAAGTTTGGTTTGCTTTGTTTTCTCTGCTCTGGAGAGAGTTTTAACTGGATTATTTGGACTGGGCAGAACGCTGCGAGAACTGCTTAACTGCATCAACCCAGACCCCGTTTTGCATTCCAGTGCTACCTGGGAGAGTCTGTTTGGTGACTTGGTGTGCGTTGTGCCTCGCCACTGCAGCAGCTCTGACCTAAACCTGCCCTGTGGACCCAGGAAACGGAGTGGGGCCGGCTGCAGATGCAGCAGCCGCCCTGAGCCCGTGTTGCGAAGAGGATCCTGCCTGTGGTCTAACAAGCGTTGTAGATCACGTTCTTTCTCCTTATCAATTCCCAACCACTGCGTAGACTCTCGGCGTTACTTTGTCGTGGTTTTGTACCCTAGTGCCAGCACTAATGGGGGGGGAGATTGACATTTTCTTATGTGGGTGCTTAATTTACGGTGATTGGAAGGTACTGAGCAATCTGTCCCTGCTTGTTCTTTTGAAGGGGGCCAGCCTGCCTGTGATGGATCTGACAGAGCTCCCGAAGTGCACAGTGTGCCTGGAGAGGATGGATGAGTCCGTGAACGGGATCCTTACCACGCTGTGCAACCACAGCTTTCATAGCCAGTGTCTGCAGCGGTGGGAGGACACCACGTAAGAGGCTTTTCTTTATTTCCACATCAAACCCCCTGTCAGAGTGTGGTGGCTTCGTGCTGACAAGACTGGTTCTGCTTATCGGAGTGTGGGGGCAGGAATTACTGCAAGTCCTAATGCTCCTTTGTTTCCCGTCAAGGGACTCCCAGAGAGAAACCTCCTCGCCAAAAGTGATTGAACCGTGTTTCCCGTGGGCCTCACTGCTCAGGCAGGCAGGGAGTTGTAGAGTGATGGTGATCATTTTAAAGTACCATAGGATAAAAATACTGGGGCCAGCAGCACTGGATGCACACACAGCCCTCTGTGTTGTGTGCCTGTTTGGTCCGTCGTTTCCTCGGCATAACTGAGGCTGTACTGCAGCCACACCTGCACGTCTGGCTGGAGCTTAGGAATCCTTCTGGGAGCCCTGCAGTCCTGCTGTCTTACAGAGGCTGGGGGAGGATGAGGAAGAGCTGGGCAGGAGGAGCGTGCAGGGGGACAGGGCTGGAAAGGCAGGCAAGGGAGGGACAATGACAGTTGCTCAGTCCGTCGGGGAGGGAGGCAGCTGCTCTAGACAGGCTGTGGTACTCAGGGTGGCCATGGGCTGAGCGATGGGGGGCCACGTTCCTAGAAGGGGTAATTCCCCTCTGTCTGTGCCTCGGGGAGACTCTCTGTGGCTCTGGGCAGTGCTGGGTGCCGGACTGCATCTGCCCTTAAAGCAGGTCTTTTCGCTGCTGCTAACCCTTTCCTGTTCTTGCTCCTACCATCCTTCACATCCCTATAGACAGGGATTTCGGTGTGTCTGAGTTCCTGACGGCAGAGCCCCCGGCTGGCACCCAGGACTGCTATCGGTTGTGCATAGTTTGCATTCTTCTGGGCGCTGCTGTTCTGCTGCACATCAGGCTGTCACAGATACTGCAGCAGAAGGCTGCTGATCCTCACTGTTTTTCTTCTCTGCCACTGGTACCACTGACGGCCTGAGCCTCTGGTGGAGCGTGAGGAGGATTTTAGCCCTCTCTGTATCATTTGTAAGCCAAGTAACAGAATGTTGGTGAGATTAATTAGATTTGTAGCTATTCAAGTTTGTGGGCTGCTTTGCCCCATAAATCAAAACCAGTTTAAATCTGAAGTGGTGGAGCTTAGCCAGTGTAAGAGCAAGATCCAAAGTAGCACTTAAATACCTAATACACAATTTAAGCAGAACTTAGGCTCCCAGTCTAGGAGAACGATAAAAGAAAATCCCTCTCCGCTTTGCTGAGGCGCCACGGAGGCTGCAAGTGCCTGCATTCCTATAGAAAGCTGACTGCAATCCAATTGTCTCCTGCCTTGAACGCTTCTGTAGCTTATCCAGCAGCTAATGAAAAATACATAAACAGTCCTGGCATCAGGATACACAGCCTCCGTTACCCTGCTCCCTAGCTGAGCTGCTGGTGCTTAGGGTCTGGACAAAGGTTCCTTCTGGTCATCGCTCTTCTGTCTTTCTGGCAGCACAGCGGTGTAGTTTCCAAGGAAATGATAGTGGGGTGCCTGCTGCGGGTTCTTTTAGGGTACAGTTAGGGGATGTTCTTCTTGGAAGGGCTGAGACTGAATCCATTGGATTGGGGTGAAATATCTCCTCATCTCCTAAGGGTTGCTTGGTGTACTAAGGCGTGTTTGCAAAGCGTAGTACCTCCCGCTGTTACTCAGCTGTCCTCAGCAGTGTGTAGTTACAGCATCCTTCCACAACAGCGTGTAGCTGCTGCGTGACACCCTGCAGGTAACGGAGAAGTGGAGATGTCAGCTGGCAGCGGTCCGGAGGAGCAGTGTTTAGCGATCTGTACAAGTGCTGCTTGCAGTGCTGATGGCTGAGGCAGGGAGGTGTTTCTGGAGCTGTTTTGGCCTGCTGGCAGCCCCGCTGAGGCTTTTGGTTGCAGATGTTCTCTACACCTGGACTGCAGGAAAACCAGATCAAGCAGAGACTGTGAAATGGCTTTGGAAGAACTGTTCTTTGTTTTCTGCCACTGACTTTAAACGCAGTAGCCTTGCATGGAGTGCGGGAAAACGCAAGTGGGTAGCTGTGAGCCGAGGGATGCGTGCACGTAAGGAGCGTCCCGCTGCACGAGGCATCCACTTGGAGCTCTCTGGCTCTCTTTTTAATTACGGTAATACTACGACAGAGCTCCTTGTGCCTAATCGTGGTGCTTATTGCCTTCTAGGTGTCCTGTCTGCAGGTACTGCCAAACGCCCGAGCCAGTGGAAGAGAACAAGTGTTTTGAGTGTGGAGTTCAAGAAGTAAGTAGGTGGGTGGATGGTGAGTGAGATCTAGACTAGCTCTGACGGCACAGCTGCTCTGGTTGCTTTTGGGGTTAATTCTGTGGCTGATCTTACCACGGGGGTGTATTTACTTTCCTTTTGAGCTGAAATCAGTACTGGGAAGGGATCTCACCTCCCAGGTTTCCTGTTGTGAAAGTGTTTCTGATTCTTAGAAGTATTAGCACATAAGCTTATCAGAGAGTGTGCGGAGTGCGATTGCAGGAAGCTGACCCAGCGCTGGACTCGGTGGTCCCTGCTAGTCTGTGCTCTGCAGAGCTTTTGTGGCCCTGCTGAAGCGCCTCCTGCGTTAAGGCCGTTCTGCCATCCACACTTGTGGTAGTCTGTGACGTACCCAGCACCTGCAGGCCTGCCGTTGGCTTCAATGAGCACGTACCTCCTTCTCTTCAGCCTTCCAGCTGCGCAAGGCTCCAGGGGAGGGGGAAAGGCAAATGCTGTTCGCTTTCGAAGGAAGTGGCTGGATGCACATGGCATCAACGGGCCATCGGTCTCGGATCGCACCGCCTCGAAGTGCTGACACTACCGCTTGACAGTGTTGTACGTACAGAGCTTTCTCCTTCTGTTGACAGAACCTTTGGATCTGCCTAATCTGTGGGCACATAGGCTGCGGCCGGTACGTGAGTCGACACGCTTACAAGCACTTCGAGGAGACCCAGCACACCTACGCGATGCAGTTGACCAACCACAGGGTCTGGGACTATGCTGGAGGTAAGCCTTCCCCTGGCTCAGGATGACCTCGTTTGTACGACAGCTTTCGGGAGCCCTGCGTAAGAGTGCTTGTGGTAGAGTTGGCTTGGAGACCGAGGGGTTTGCATCTCTACTAATTCCTTGTCTAGTGGGAACGTCTGTCTCCTCTCTAATAGTACTTTTGGTGGGTCTGTAGCGGGTGGAGGAGGGAGAACATGATTCTGTAATGAACTGGGGCTGTCCTGTAGTCTCTGTGGAATGTGTTTGTTACTCCCTTTCCATGGATTTGCCCTGAGGTATGGGAATGGGCTGTTGTCATAGATAACCTGTAAGGTGTCTGTGCAAAGTCTGCTAAATAACAACTACATCTGGGGCTGGCTTTCTGCCTCGCCGATACGCTGTCGCAGCGGTCTGCACGCTTAATTGTGCTGCATAACCCATTTCCACCAGTGTCAGCCTGGGTGTTCTTCAGCTAAAACTCCCCGTGTCTGAATTTTTTCTCTTCAGATAACTACGTCCATCGCCTGGTTGCAAGTAAAACTGATGGGAAGATAGTTCAGTATGAGTGCGAGGGAGATATGTGTCAGGAAGAGAAAATTGATGCCTTACAATTAGAGGTAAATATTTTGGCTCCTTGGGCTCTGCATTGTGCTGCTACGTGGAAGTGTTTCAAATCCAGATACAACTACAGGAAAATTACATCAGCTTATGCAGCAGACCTGCTCCCTGCATGTAGGCAATCATCTTCAGGCAGAAGCAGGATGTTTTTACTGCCTTTTTCTTAAAAAAAAAACAAAAAAAACCCCAAAAAAACCCCCAAACCACCTCTTCTTGGCTCTGCAGAGCCAATGCAGCTGAGTGTAAGCTGGCTGCAGTTTCATCCTGTGTTCACTGGGAGACTGAAGATTAGCTGGTTACGCTGCTACAAAGACTCGGGTCATTGGAGAGGGAGAAATGGGTCTGAATGTCCAGATTCACTCACCAGACTCTTCCTAGTGAAACTGTGACTTGGCGTAAGAGCCAGGATGTGTATGGAATTGTCAGTTTGAGTAGTTTGGCTTGTAAACCGAGCAAGTGTGTCGGAGTCATAGCTGTGTGCTTACCTTGGCTATCTGAGCAAGCTGACAGGCTCCTCTGACACCAGCCCTGCTCCCTCCTCTTGAAGAGATAATGATTTTTTTGTACCTGTTACCCACCTGGAAGGGTAAAGGAGAGAAACTCGAAATCACTGCTCCGCTGAGCAGATACACTGCAGCGTGACTTCAGCCGCATTGTACACCAGGGTGTGTGAGGAGGAACAGCCCGTAGAGACCAGACTTGGTCAGCTTATTGCTCCAATAAATGTTCGGTTGCTTTTCTATGAATTTTCTAAGTAAGGCTTAGATGCTAAGCCAGCTATTTTTAACCCTTTTTTTTCTGGGAGATTGGTGCTTAAAGTATGCAAGACCTTTCTATCTAGCTTAGGAGATCTAAATGTTTCTAGAGAGGATGAATTTGGCAGCGTATTTTGGCGCTCTGGTGTTACTGAGAGTGTTCAAGGCTTTTTGCACATGTTTAGTTCTGTCTTGAACACCTAATTGGGTGCTTATTAGCCTGATGATAAGAAATGATCATGTTTTCCAGCCTTCTCATAACTCATTTGCAGAAGCAGGAGGGAGAAGATGGGCTGTAAGACATACATCCTTGTTCAGATGCCAGAATAACATGGGAATCGGCTGTACTTGTTGGGGAACAATAGTTGTGAGTAGTTGTACACTGCTGAGGTTCCTTTCCCAGAGAGGTTCTTACAGTGAAGCCAGATACGTATTTATCCTTCTGGGCACGCAACAAGTCCGGCCTTTGGGATCTCAGACTCTCGTGACAGGGACGGCTGGTGCTTCATTTTCCTGAGGAGTTTAAAACTTGCAGAGATTTACTGCTACTACCAAGAAAAACCTGTCTGCTTTTTAAAAAGCTCTTGGCATAATAGTGTGTACAGCTTGGCAGAACCTGTACTTGACCTTGCTGCTGTGCTCTGAAGGCTTTCCCTCAAAAAAGCCGAGTGATTTGATTTTTGAAACCAAATTGGCGAAGCACATCGGCTGGATGTGCAGTTTGCATGTATGTTCAGAATGTCCTGTGTGCTCCATTTCATCTGATTCAGTTGATTTGTATACTGGAGCCCTTTGGGCTTCTTAATCAGCATAGGCAGCCCTGCGTGCAAGCTGACTGCTCTGTGTGTATCTTGTGTGTTCATAGTACTCATATTTGCTGACAAGCCAGCTGGAATCGCAGCGCATCTACTGGGAAAACAAGATCGTCCGAATAGAAAAGGATACGGCTGAAGAGGTGAGCTCTGCTCTGGGCAGAAACTCTGCTGGAACAGTCCCCTGAAGTTCGGTGGGAAATGGGGCTGTTCAGTCCCTCCTGCAGCCCGAATATTGCTTGGCGTGGCCTCGCATAGCCTGTCGCTACCAGCTGAGAAAATTGGCTCCAAGATGTATCCCTTATCTCGATGCTCAGATCTAGCAATTTGCTGCTCAGTGGTGCAGAAGTAGGTAGATTGCCACCTAGATTGAAGGTTGATTAAAATTTGCTGCTCGGGAAACTGCAGCGGAGGTGAAAACAAGTCGGTGCTGCTGCAGGATTCCTGCTTGCCGATGCCATCCGTCTCGCTGACGTGCATCTCTGGGGAAGGGTAGTGTAGCATAGACAATATGACTTTAATTTGCTGGGCTGCGGAAAGGGGAAGCTGTCTTTCTGCTCCAAATGCATATTGATTTGCCCTTTCTCTCTGATCCCCTATCTCTCCTCATCACCCTTTGGGAAAAGTTGAGGGTCTCGTCCTATGAAGCATGCTGTAGGCAGGGCTGCTTCAAAATGTCACGAGCAAAAATCCAAGGAGGGTATTTTAATGCTTTTCACTCTATGTAGATCCTTTCAACTAGGTTTGAAGTTGAGTCAGGTTTAAGGGTTGAGTCCTTACCTGAACTTTCTGCACGACTTCTAATTAACCGTTTAGTATCTGCAGTTCAGGAGCATGGTAAATGTAGAAATTGTGACTGTTGAAATAGTAGTCGTTGACCTCAGTCTAAAGAACAGTCCCAGAAACCTTATGGAGGGCCCTATAAGAAGAAAAGATAGAGGAAACATCATCTTGCACGTGACCTGGAAGCATGATCCACAAAGGGACTCTGAAGTGAAACGACTATGATGTGTGCCCCAAATGTGGTTTCGTGTTTGAAGAGCCTCACAATTTTATTCATGGCACTTGCTCCATGTAAGTCTGTCTGGATCAGTGCCACTCTGCAGTGTATTCCATTACCAGTGCTCGGGCTGCTTCCCCAAATTAACAATCAGCTGTATAAACATTCAGTGATTAGGGCCGCAAGGCTTAAAACCTGCTCTGCATTGACTCTGGCATCAGTGAAGGCACCGTGTGTGCTGACCCTGACATTTATCCAGATTGCTCCTCCAGGAAAGCATTTTTTCCCTTTAAATTCCTGCCTCTGCTGGATGCAAGCATGCTTTTGATACTGATGTAGATCTGTCTGTAAGTCCCCTGTAAGCCTTACGTCAGAGGGTCTGGCATGCTCTGTGCAGTGCCCAGGGACGAGCGCTTGGCGTTCCTCAGCAGTAGCGGTGTCGAGCTGTGGAGTGGAGGGGAAGAGGAGGCCAACGTACGTGTGTTGCTGTTTGCGTTTTGCATGAGTAAGATATTGGTGTCAGTAGGTCGCCGCCTTATGACAGCGAGCTGCTGAGTCAGTGCTGAGCAAAGGAGCACGTTCATTTTCAGACTTCGACCATACTTACCTGAAGTTTGGTTTATAATGAGCAAAAGCCCGGCACTGTAAAGCCTTAAGTTGGAAGTTTTAAGCTTGCAGACAGACACAACCGCGTCCGAGAGAATGGCTAAATGAATGCGTAACTGCAGGCAGGAAGAAGTTAAGGATCGGATGCAGCTTGTGTTTGAATGGGCTGCCTGGCACGGATCTGCAGCCTGAGTTGCTGTTCTGTGTGAGCAGCTTCCACGGCAACGTGCTTCCTCGTCAGGGTACCGCAAACCGTAAGCACAGGGGGGCTTAATCACAATCAAGCCCTTTCCAGACTCAAAGCTTTTGCTTACCTGAATATAGGAATTGGTCAAAGTCTAGAAACCGCTCCAGAAAATTGAACGTTGTGACGAAAGCACACAGGACTTTGATCTCTCTGAAATGCCTCTGTGTTTATTTTTACAGATTAACAACATGAAGACCAAATTTAAAGAGACCATTGAGAAGTGTGACAGTCTGGAACAGAGGCTGAATGACTTGCTCAAAGAAAAGCAGTCTGTCGAAAGGAAGTGGGTACCGCTGCCAGGTTTAGTTCCGTGCAGCCATTAAAACTCTGCGTGCTGACATCCAAAAATGGGGAAAAAAAAAAAAAAATCTGGCTATTCCTGGGCAGTTTTGAGCTATTTAAACCAGTATTCTGAGAGCCCAGCTCATTTTTTAAAAAGCTCTCATTTCTGTAGGTGCTCACAAAGTGAAAGTGCCTGTGGAGTGGAATATAGCTGCTTTTGGGGCTCTGGGCTCTTTTACATGGTCGGCATATTTAGCATTCAGTAATCCTTCCCCTGCCCGCTCAGAAGTAGATGCCAGCCTCTTTCACAATTGGCGGATAGATCCAAAGAGAAGAAAGGCAGCTCAGCAGAGGCATCTCACCCAGCACAGAGAAAAATGTGGACCTTGGGAAGTGCCTAGATGAAGGATGTCAAGCACGGGGGCTGCGCAGATCAGTGTCCAGCTCCCTGGGTGGTTCTGCGGGCTCTGTTCCTCCGAGCCCAGCCGGCACTGCTGCCTCTCCAGCAGTCCTGGGCGGAGCAGGCCCAGGCTGGTGAGCCGTGGTTCATGTGGCTCACCTTGATGAGTGGAGTCTGTGGTGCCACTGGACGTTCAGGGTAAAAGCACTGCGTTGTTGGGAGCAGGGAAGCACCGTCTGTGAGACGGGAGGTGACAGCTATCCTTGCGGGAGCATCTTTCTTCCAAGTGAAGCGGTATCTGCAGGGTGTTGTACTCGGGAGTGTGGCGGGAGCCAGCAGAATCCCAGAATGGTTTGGGTGGGAAGGGTCCGTAAAGCCCCCCCAGTGCCCCCCCCTGCCATGGGCAGGGACACCTGCCACTAGACCAGGTTGCTCCAAGCCTCATCTGGCCTGGCCTTGGACACTTCCAGGGATGGGGCATCCACAGCTTCTCTGGGCAACCTGTCCCAGTGCCTCCCCAACCTCTGCGGGAAGAATTTCTTCCTGATGTCCAATCTCAGTCTCCCCTCTTTCAGTTTAAACCCGTTACCCCTTGTCCTGTCACTAAGGGCATCCTGGGAGTCCCTGGTTGTCCTCAGCTCTCTAACGAGCCCAGGGAGTCTCTGCCTATGCCCTGAGCTGCAGACGCGTGTTGAAGTGTACAGTCCCATGCTCCCACACACCCCGTCTGTGGGCCTTCGGTACAGGATGGAATCGTCTAACTTGCAAGGGAAAGGATTCTCCTGGGTTCTGGAGCTGGAGGGACAAAGGAAGGGACTGCGCTTCACAGCACCCTCTTCCATGTGCTGGTGACATCACGCAGAGAGGCAGACTAGCAAGCCTTCTGCTGGGTAGAACATCCTGCGGGGATTTCAGAGTCCTCCTATGTTCCCCTCGCCCATCTTTTGCCAGAAACCCACGTTCCAGGTGGCCTTGGTGGGGCTGGGGACAGCTGGGCGTCCGTTGCCCTAAGGGCTGGGGAAGTAAAAAGGGTGCGACGGTGTTTGATCTTGGTGCAGCGTGTGTAGTAACTCGCTTTCCTGTCTTGCGCTTCTGTTGGCAAGGTGCTCGCAGCTGAATAACAAAGTGGCCAAACTTTCCAATGAGCTGAAGGAGGAGCAGGAACTGAATAAGTGTCTGCGAGCGAATCAAGCCTTGCTTCAGAACAAACTGAAGGAGGAGGAGAGAGTTTTAAAGGAAACCTGCGAACAGAAGGACCTGCAGATCTCCGAGATCCAGGAGCAGCTGCGGGATGTCATGTTCTACTTAGAGACCCAACAGAAAATCAACCACCTCCCAGCTGAGACCCGACAGGAGATTCAGGAAGGACAGATCAACATTGCCGTGGCATCTTCTGCCAGCTCCTCCACGGGCAGCACGGGCAAACCTTCTTCCAGGAGAGGCCGTGGCAAGAGGGGCAAATGAAAATGGGAATGCCCTGCTCCCATCCTGAAGCTGGCCGTGCTGGTGGTAGGCCAGGCTCACCTCTCGGCTGGGAACAGCCGGCTCACTCAAGCTCAGCTAGAAATTGTCCCCAGAGCTGCTCATAAAACTGGCTGCCAGTCACTGGAGGTGTCTGTGGTATTTAAAAGCATTTCACTGCACTATTTAGCTATTTTTTAGGCAGATCATAACGACCATCTTGCCTTCCTGCCTTCTCCAAGCCCCTCCTCTCATGCGTTCTGACTTTCTTCTTGGAGAGTGTGCTCTTTTGGGGTGGGCGTGTGCGCGCTAAACCCCGCGCTGCCTGCGGGGATGCTGTAGACTAGGCTAGGCCCAGCGTCTAGGGCCTCTCCGTTCTCCTGCATTAAAGGTATTCTCAGTTAAGAAGTGATTTTATTTAAGAAACTGTAAAATTAGGTTGCACATACTAAAGGGGATGTATATAGTCCTGACGCTGCAGAACCGCGAGTGCAGGAGTAGAACCGTAGTTTGGAAGTGAAAAGGAGTGAGGGGTGGGAAAGAAACCACCTTGGTGTAAGAAGTTAGTCCTAAAGGTTTGTAATCTGGGATATTAAACACTTTAAGGGACGTTGCTACTATCTCTTTCTTCATTTTAAAGAGGGCCTTTGCAAGGCCAGTGCCTGCTGTCTGGGGCAGAAAGGGGGACAAGCTTTGCCTTCTGGAAGCCGCTGAAGGTGGTGGTTTTACAGGCGTTTCTGCGCGTTAAACAGAGCCGTCGCTGCCAAGACGGCTGCACGTTCCGTGTCGCCAGGCTCCGGCGCGGGGTGTGCGTGTGCTCTGAAAACTCCCTCTCCCTTCGTGCCCAGCCTTTGCGGGAGCTGCTGTGCCGGGGGCTGTGATGGAGCGGAGCGACCAGCCCCTGGCTGCCGGGTGCAGCTGTTGTATCCAGTTACCGTCATCGCTTGGCGCTGCCTGTTCCGCCCCGAAACGCGGCTCTGACCGGAATCTCGGCTGGCAAAACTTTTGTGGTATTTGCCCCAAAGGTGTGCAGGTCCCGCTGAGGAAATCTGAGGACAAATCTGGGTTTTTCTGTTGGGTTTTGCTTAGAACTTACGCCAGGCGACGCTGTGGGGTGGCAGGGGTTTTACTGCCCTGGCTGGAGAAGCGACTGTCCTGGTGGCTGCGTGGCGGTTGGCAAGCCGGGCATTTAAAGGCTAATCCTTTGTTACAGATGACCGGGGGAGTCCCAGGAGTGTTCACATGGGAGTGTGATCCTTTCCCGTTGTTCGACCTGCAGGAACAACCCTAATCTCAGTCTGTTACACTGGAAATGAGCTCTGACTTGGCTCCCACCTGGAACAAAGAAATAAACCAGCTAGCCCTCTATTGCTACAGATTGATCTTTTAGGCCCACTGAAAGGACGGAGTTGTGATACACAGAAGGACTCTGGCAAGGTGAGTCCTTATAATCCGCTTCCTGACCTGACGGATGGGAAGTGTGAAATAGAGTTTGAAATCCAGGGAGCTTGTCGGTGCACTCGCTGCATCCTTGGCTTGCGTTTGGAGGTCTGCCCCGCTCATCTGGAACTTCTACCTTTTCTAACTTTGTAGCGTGAATGTACACTGACTTTTCTAGTGGGTGGATTGTACAGCCAGGCCTCTGCCTTCTGTAAATTATTCTAAGGACCTAGAGGTGTACAACACAGCTCGCTCTCCTACAGAAATATTTTATTTAAGATGTATTTTTACACCACCTAAGATCCTCTGACCTTTTACTGAAAGCTTGCTTTGTGTAGAACACTAAGATGCTGTACTGTACCTTGGAATTCTGTTTTCAAAAAACGGGATTGGAAATTAAAGCAGCGTGCAGTAGTTTTGTTTGTGTCCTCAGCTGGAAGTGGAGGAGAAGGTGGCAGGGAGAAGGACAAAACACACAACGTGTTTTAGAGTTGTCTGCTTTTAAACTCGCGGGCAAAGCTGCCCACACGGACTCCTTGTGTTGGGCTGGGGGGGAAGTTTGGTTCAACTGAGCAGATAAGGCAGGGTAATTATCTCTGGCTCTCGAGAAGCAGGCAGCTCATGCAGGAGAAGCAAGGGGGGTTGAATACTTCTGCGTTAAACCAAGTCACCCTCAATCCTCGAGTCCCCTCCGGCTTCTCCTAAAGCAGCGCAGATGGCCAGGCACCCTGCGGCCTCCGCTGGCGGTGGGTCCCCCGGGGGTCCCGCTGGGTGCGGCTGAGGGCACCCTCCCTGGCGAGATGGCCTCCGGGTGGGACCATGCTCTGGCCGTGGGGCGGAAGTGAGCACCGATGTGGCTCGTGGCAAAGGGAGAAGTCCCAGCGAAGGCCGGTCCGTGACTCTTCCTTCCCCATCATCCGGACACTTGAGGGCCTGGAAGAGGTGGCAGCAGTCGGACCTCTCCTGTCCAGCTTCGACACCTGCGACTCGAGCACCGGCTCAGCTTTGTGGCCGATGACTCGGTGTCGCCACGGTAGAAGGTTGCAGCAGCATAAAGCTTCCCCCAGGCAGTGGGCAGGAAGGATTTATTTAAAATCCTTAAAATAGACTTATTTTATTGTTTGCTTTAAGCACGAAAGGCACACCCGCTGCCCCCTGATGAGCAGCAAAGGGGTTGCACTGTCCCTGCTGGTGCTGCGTTGGGTGTCGGGAAGGATATCAGAGCTCCAGGACAAAGCCTGCCCCGGCATTGCCACGTGGCAGTAATGGGGATGTTCTAGCAGGAGCAAGGAACAGGCGACCTGTTCTCCCCAAAGGGCTGCCGGTGGCCAGCATGTTCCGTGAATTTCACTGGATCCTGCTGTTCCCTCTCCCAACAGGTCCCTGATTCACAGGCTGGCAGGGGAGGAACAGGGCAGCAGAACGAGTCGTGATGCTGTTTGTGGGCAGGATGGGAACGGCGGAAACGCTCAAGGCAGCCCAAGAGCCTCCGGTGTCCGCTCTGGTGAGAGACCAGCCTCTCACACGCGAGGGTCATCAGGGACCGCCGGAAAGGCTGCGGGGTTTAAAACGGCCAGGGAGAAACACAGATGGAGCGGAGCGACAGCCAGCAGTCGCACGAAGCTTGGCAGAGCGCTCCGCGCTTTGGGGATGCTGAGATGATTCACTCCGGCAGCTGGTGCCCAGCGAGCGGAGAGGAGAGGTGGTCAGCTGGGGTGACGGCCGTCACGGCTTCTCGGTGGCTGGGAGATGCAGCACCCACAGCCAGAGGGACAGCAGGGACAGAAGGAGCTGTGTCCTCCTGCTTGGAATGGAAACACAGGGCAGCTCAGGGGGAGCTGTGGCCCAGGGCTTAGCCGTCCCCAGGGATGTTCTCCATAAGCAAATGGTAAAGTCCTGATCAGCAGGAGGCAAAAGCAGCGTGCGAGGTGGGGCTTGATGACAGCGAGGGGGGCTCCCCACCCGACGCCTCCAGCACCCACGGGCTACGTGCCCGAGCTCCGAGTGGGGTCTGCTGCGTGGGAGCGAGAGCTGCGGCCACCCAAGCTCCAGCATCCCCCAGTCTCCCTGCTGGTGGGTTTCCAGGGGTCCCCTCGAGGCCAACCCAGCAGCTGCCTGCAGAGCCCCCCGTGCAGCCCAGCCAGCCGCCCGTGCTGTGGTCTGGGGGATGACACCTGGCTGACATCGCTCTGTTTCACACAGCCCCCAGGAACTCGTTAATTTTACAGCGGGCTGATTTGCCCCTTGGGGAAAACCTATCCCTTAACACCAATTAATCCCCTCCATTCTGCTCTTTTAGGAGCCGAGGTAATGTCTCACTGGTCTGTGCCCTAGAAAAACCTCGCGCAGTGCCACCAGCACAGTAACTCCACAGGGAAACATCCACGTCCGCGTGTCCGAGCAGCTGGAGCACCCCAGGGCCACACCGTGCTCCCTGTGCCCCAGCCAGCCCAGGCCCCCCCGAGGGGTCATGCTGCCGTCCCACCACCCACTCTCCGCTCCCTTTACCTTTTCACCAGAGCCCAATTCCCTAAGGCCCTGTGGAAAATTCCTGCCTTGATCTGCACCAACCGACTTGTCCGTTCTCGTTTGAGCTCCGAGAAGTTCACATCAACTTCTTCTGGGCTTTTTTTCTCCCCGTCTTTTTACAGAAATCGGCATTTTGGTCTAACAACTGCGTTTTGAAGGCAGACACACCCAGCTGGTCCCACTCTCCACAGCGAGTCCTACACCAGGACAGTCCCGGTATTCCGAGAGGAGTTTTGCAGCACAGGAGGGACGCTCCTGTACTCCTTCTCCAGCCTGAATTCCTCCCCACGTGACCGGAGGCAAGAGCCAGCTCTGTGCACCGGTTCGCTCCAGCTGCCGAGGGGCAACAGCAAAATAGCGACAGGTTGGCTGGAAGCAGGAAGCCACTCGTGCTCTTTGCTTTCGTTTCCATCCCAAGTTACAACCCCACACCTAACGCTTCCTGCTCCTGCACCACCCCTGAGCAAACATTATTTATAGCAGCAAGCAGCATTTATAGCTTTGCCCCTTCTTGACCTGGAAGTAATTGGTTAATTGAGTTAGACAACAAACCTCAGGACACTCGCACGGTTTCCTTCCCCCTTCTCCCAGGGAGCTGGAGAGTCAAACTCCTTCTATCCCAAGCCGGCTAACAACATCAGACGCCTCCGAGAGAACAATGTTTACTTCCCCGTCAGGAAATTGGTCCCTGTTGAAGCTGCTATAGAGCTGCTGCACCTGGGGGGGTTGCTGAGCTCGCTCTGGGGTCGGGGGGCTCTCTGCGGAGAGTTTCCTGAGGCTGGGAAGCAGCAGAAAGCTTGGGCACTCGCCGGGCTCTGCGCAGACGTGTCTTAGCAGGAGGAGACTGCGATTTCAGGCTTTTGTGCGGGTTTAGCAACGCGATGACTTGGTGGTGGTGGCGGTTATCTGGGTTTGTGGGCTCGGGGGCAGCAGAGGGAGGATGAGCTGTGTGAGATCCCCGGGCCGTGCTGGTCTCTGGTGCTGGGCCCGGCGTGTTCCGTGTCTGAAGGTGGCACTTCACGGCGATGCTCCTGCCCGCTGCCGAAGGGGCTGTGCTTGCAGAAGCACCGACGCTGAGCTGTGAAGGCCCCGTGTTTGCGGGTGTGCAGGACCCTGCTGCTGTGGGTGCCCTACCCACTGCTGGTGGAGGCTGCAGGACGTTCCCAAATCCCCTCGGCTGTCCCAGACGGAGCAGTCGGGCTGCTCTCCTGCATTTAAGGAGGGCTTTTCTTGGGGGTTGGCTGCAATTTAGCTGTTTTTCTTGCCTGTTATCAGTGTCCCTGTGTGGCGGCAATGGCCTTGGAGGACAGCGTAGGGTGTACTGTAGTTTTCTGGATGCAAAGATGATGTTCTTGAAACGTCTTTATGTGCCTCTGCCCCCCAGTCTCCCTCTTCCCTCACAT